AACTGCCTTTCTGCCATCGTACATGGTGCCATACGCCAACGATGTCTTCAGTGCATTACAGGCTGAGGCCGAGGAAGAAAGCAGGGATGAAGCCGAGGAAAATGCCAAGGGAGAAAACCGACCAAAGCAAGCCGGCCAGGTGGAGTCTGACGTCCAAGAAACCACAACTACGATCGACCTAGAGGCAGTTGCAACCGGGGACGACTTCGCTGACCTTTCCCCCTTAGTTTAATTTTCTTTTTTTTCTTTTTTTTTTAAAGAATGTAACCGGGCTACCTGCCCCACCTTATGTAATTCAGTTTATCGTCAATGAAAAGTTTTGATTTCTTTAACTGTTGCACTGCTTGTTGGACTATGTTTCATCATCTCGGCAGGAACCTTTAAGAAAAACTTAAACTACTTTAGCTGGAGTAAAGCACCTCGGCTAAATCTTTTGAGTTGGGCAAATCACCAACCCCTTTAGCTGGGACAAAGCATCTCGGCTAAAGCCCTGAGCAAATCATCAACTCATTTAGCCGGAGTAAAACATCTCAGTTGAAACCACATAGTTGACTAAATCATCAACTCAATTGACCGGAATAAAACATTTCGGTTGAAACCACAGAGTTGAGTAAATCATCAACTCATTTAACCGGAGTAAAATATCTCGGTTGAAACCACAGAGTTGAGTAAATCATCAACTCAATTAACCAGAATAAAACATTTCGGTTGAAACCACAGAGTTGAGTAAATCATCAACTTATTTAATCAGAGTTAAACATCTCGGTTGAAATCACAAAGTTGAGTAAATCATCAACTCAATTAACCGGAATAAAACATCTCGGTTGAAATCACAGAGTTGAGTAAATCATCAACTCATTTAACCGGAGTAAAACAACTCGGTTGAAACCACAAAGTAGGCATCGAAAACAACAAAATGCTTCAGCAAAGATAAGTCACTTCTATTATGTTTGACAAAAAGAGTGTTACATTCGGAAGTGTGGGGAAAACAAAAACAAATCCTTCTTCAAAAATTTACAGAAGAACGAAAAATACTAAAAATAGTACAGTTTGAGGTTAGTCGCATTCCATGGTCGGGGTTCGCCTTTGCCATCCAAATCTTCTAAATGGTATGCCCCTTTGCCCACTAGACCGGTTACCTTGTAGGGCCCTTCTCAGTTTGCCCCTAGCTTGCCTTCGCCGGCACCAGTGTGTTGCCCATGACCTTCCTTAAAACCCAATCGCCCACTTTAAACGGTCGAAGGTGCACGGTTTTGTTGTATTTCTTGGACAGTTCTTGTTGGTGTGCGGCCACGTGGATCAAAGCTTTTTCCCGACGCTCATTAGCTAGGTCCAATTCCAGGGCGACTGCTTCAGAGTTCATCTCGGGCTCAAAATTTTCACTGCGGATGGTGGGCATGCCGATTTCCAATAGAATGACCGCCTCCATGTCGTATGCCAGGGCAAAAGGAGTTTCCCCGGTATATCACCTCGGGGTCGTCCGATATGCCCAAAGGACACTTGGGAGTTTCTCGGCCCATTTTCCTTTGGCTTTCTCAAGTTTTTTCTTCAACCCATCAAGAATGGTCTTGTTTGATGCTTCGGCTTGGCCGTTGGACTGTGGGTAAGCCGGGGTAAAGTTATAGAATTCAATATTCAATTCCTCACAAAAATCCTCTGAATATGCGGCCGTCAAATTGGGTGCCATTATCAAAAATCAGAATCTTGGGGACGCCAAATCGTGTTACCACATTCTGCCAGACAAACCGTTTGACATCTTTCTCCTTGATAGTCGCTAAGGGCTCAGCTTCAACCCATTTGGTGAAGTAATCCGTAGCTGTAATGAAGAACTTTTGGTTGCCTAGTACCATTGGGAGTGGTCCCACTATGTCTGGCCCCCACATCGCAAAAGGCCAAGGGCTTGTGAGGGGAAGAAGTTCTCTGGCCGGCTGGTGAATTTGGTGGGTGAACTTCTGGCACTTCTCATATTTTCTAACATAACTTTGAGCGTCCGCTTGCATGTATGGCCACCAATATCCTTGCGAGATAGCTCAGTAGGCCAAAGATCTTCCCCCGATGTGACTTCCGTATATGCCTTCATGAATTTCGTACAGGAAAGCTTCCACATTGTTTAGGTGTACATACTTCAGGTAAGGACCGGTGTATGACTTCTTATATAAAGCGCCAGATGGAGAGAGCCAAAATCGCTCTGACTTCACCCGGACTTTATGTGCTTCCTTTTTATCCGCCGGAAGGGTCCGTTCTTTCAGGAAGAGGATAATAGGGTCCATCCAAGAAGGGCCAAGCTCGGTACAGAGTACTTCTGTCTGCTCGGGTTCCTCGATACTAGGCCTTAGAAGAAACTCAATCAGGAGAGGGTTGGGAGATGTTCTGTCGACCATGAAAACTAGACCGGCTAATTTATCCGCACGGTCGTTTTGTTCACGACCAATTTGTTGGACCCTTATTGCCTGGAATCGCTTGATGTGTTCTCTTACAAGAGCTTGGTACTTGGCCATTCTGTCGTCTTTGGCTTCTTAGACCTCGGACACTTGGTTGACAACAAGTTGGAAGTCACTGTAAACCATCAGCTCAGATATGCGCAATTGAAGCGCGCTCTTAAGCCTGGCCAATAGCGCATCGTACTCAGCCTCGTTGTTTGACGTAGGAAATCCGAGGGTGATAGAGTGCTCGATGGTCAGACCATCTGGCGAGATCAAAACTATGCCCAGCCCGGCGCCGTGACGATTTAAGGCTCCATCTACAAAAAGTTTTCACATTTCACCGACGAAGAGTTTCCAACACTTTGAGGGGTCCTGGGAGGCGCGAAGGTTAATGGGATCACGGGCACTCGGCTGTCCGGTTTCAGGTTCATTGCTGTTCAGTTCCACTTCATCCCCCATCGGCGATACGGTACAGGACCCAACAGGTTGGTCTGTTATGCCCAAGTTCGTCATCGCATTGCCGGGCTGCTGTATTATGCCGACAGTAGGTGTTATAGACGGGGGCGCAAGTTCTGCGTTGCTACCATCACCCTGTTGTGCAATTTCTATTGAGCCTTCATTCACTTTCTCGGCTACCGCGGCGAGATCCACCGGGCATAATGGATGAATTCCAAGCAAGAATTCAGCAACAAAATTGGCCAATGCTTGTGCTTTTATGGAAATTTGGGGTTGAAACTTGACGTTGAATTGTCCCAATTCGACCGCCCACTTCAGGATTCGATTGGAGAAATCCGTCCGTTTGAACAAGGCTTTGAGAGGGAATTCGGTCAATACAATGATTATGTGAGCGTGAAAGTAGTGCGCCAATTTCCTCGAGGCCATCATCAATGCCAAAATAAGTTTTTCCAGCGGCAAATACCTCAACTCGCCCGGTAGCAAGGTTTTGCTTACATAAAAGACAGGCAAATGCTGGATACCCTCGGACCCGACAAGTACCGCACTAACTGCATGCTGAGAAACTGCCAAATAAAGGTTGAGTTCTTCGAAAGGCTTGGGCGTCACCAATAATGGGGCAGAGGACAAATATGCCTTGAGCTCGGCCAAAGCCTTGTCACATTCCTCGTCCCATGAAAACTTGGATTTTAAGGCTCGAAAGAAAGGGCGACAGCGATCTGATGACCGACTTATGAATCGGTTAACCGCGGCTGTCATACCGGCAAGATGCTGCACGTCATTTGCCGAGTTGGGCTGCTTCAATTCTTGTACGACTTTGATTTGTGTGGGGTCTACCTCGATGCCTCGATTTGTGACTAGGAAGCCCAAGAATTTCCCGGATCCCACGTCGAAGGCACACTTTGACGCATTCAGGCGTAGTTTGTGCTGTTTGAGAATGGCGAACATCTCGGCCAAGTCAGATAAGTGGTCTGCCTGATGCCGACTTTTGACCACCATGTCATCGATATAAGCCTCCATCGTCCGGCCTAGCAGAGGAGCGAACATTTTGGTCATCATTCTTTGGAAAATTGCCCCAGCGTTCTTCAAACCAAAATGCATGACTCGATAGCAGAAGAGTCCCCTTGGGGTGGTGAAAGAGGTTATCTCGTGGTCGGGAGCATGCATGGCGATCTGGTGATAACTGCAATAGGCATCCAAGAAACTGAGCCTGTTATGCCTGGCCGTAAGATCCACCAGCTGGTTAATTTTGGGCAGAGAAAAGTTATCTTTAGGGCAAGCTCAGTTGACCGTCTTGTAATCAATGCAAACTCGTCACTTCCCATTCTTCTTTGGTACGAAAACCGTATTTGAAACCCACCGAGGGTAGTGCACTTCCTGGATGGCCCTTGCTTCTAGTAAGTTCCTTACTTCCTCCGCGACTACCTCGGCGTGATGAAGAGCCAATCTCCTCATTTTTTGAATGACTGGCCGCGTATCTGGAAAAACATTGAGTTGGTGGCAAATAAAGCTTGGATCAATGCCAGGCATGTCATATGGCGTCCATGCGAAGACTTCGATATTGGCCATCAAGAATTCTACCATCTCGGTTCGTTCTTGGGCGGTCATGCTGGATCCCAGCAAAAAGAACTTGTTTGGACTTTTCGTGTCGATCCGTACTTCTACCAACTCTTCAATAGCCTTGTCCTCGGCCCTGGTGCCCACGTCATCAAGGACACTCTGGTCTTCTGGACCTTCAATCATTTGCACGAAGCCTTTGGCAGCTCAGCTCCCATTCACTGCCACGAAACATTGCTTCGACATGACTTGATCGCCCCAAATTTCCTCAACTTCCCCCATAGCCAAGGGGAATCTCATAACCTGGTGGTAGGTTGACGCTACCGCCTGCATGGCATGACGCCATCCCCTACCTAAGATCAAGTTGTATGTTGACGGCACCTTCAATACCCAGAACTCCACCTGCTTGACCACGGATCCGACTTTGATCGGCAAAATTATCTTTCCCAACGGCCTCTCTGGTTGTGAGTTGAAACCAACTAGTGGCGAAGTTGCTGGAGCCAAGTCTGTATCCCGGAGTTTGAGTTGCTTGAACGCGTCGTAATATATAATCTCAACCGAGCTTCCTTAGTCAATCAGGATGCGCTTGACATCGAAGTCTCTGATGCGGAGGGTGACTACCAGGGTGTCGTTGTGCAGCGTTTGAATACGCTCTAGGTCGTTAGATGAAAAACTAATCACATCTTTCTTTTCGGTCTTCCCTCGTTTGATCGCGGGCTGGACTGACAAAACCTCCCTCATATGTTCCGTCTTTTTGATCATTCCTCGGAGCTCACATACACGCGCTGGCTCCACTATGCCGTGGATCACATTGACCACTCCTTGAGGGGGCGCCTCTAAGTCATCCGGTCCAAGTGGATCAGCCGGAGTGGGATGCGTGGCCTTAACTCCCCCATCAATGTAAAGGTCTAAATGACCGACTGCGACTAACTCCTCAAAGTGTTGCTTCAAAGGCAAACAGTCCTCTGTCCGGTGTCCGCGCTCCCTGTGATATGTGTAGCGGTACCGCGGATTGAAGCCCTTTTGCGCATCGCTCAACTTAGCAGGAAACCGGACGTAATCCTCATCACGAATTTCACTAAGTATGCGATAGATTGAAATCTTAAATACCGTGGTGATGCCCGTCCGGGCTTTCAACCTTTTGTTAGCATCAGCCACATCATCGCGGGGATATTCTGCTTGGTCATTGCGGTGACCTCTACCCTGGTTTCGATGATTTGGTCCACGGTCTGATTCCTCGACGCGATCACTTGGACGGTTAGTCTCCTGTTCGACCGCGTGCACCTTGCCAGCCGTCCTTTTGTCTATTACCACCGGATTTGTCTTCGCGATGGATGCCGCCGCATCATCTTCTATGCGGAGGTGCTCATTGATGCGCTGCATTAGTTGCCCCATGGATGTCGACTGGTTCATTGTAAGGAGTCCCACAGCCTATGTTCGACCGGGAGACTGCACTTATATTGGGTGATTGCCAGGTTGATCGGGCAATCTAGAATCTCGTTGAAAGTTTCCCAATACCTGGAGTTGTATGCCTTGAGAGTGTCACTCGACTCCATCTTGACATTGAGAAAGTGGTCCACTTTCTTTGGCGTTTTGGTATTGGTTTTGAAACGAGTGACGAATGCTTTCGCCAACTGCTGCCACCTTTTGATGCTTTCCTCCGGCAGCCTCTCAAACCATTTCAAGCCCAACTCGCCCAAACTTGACGGAAAAATAAGGCACATAAGGGCGTTATTGCACCTATGTCCAGCCATAACCTGCCGGAAGTGGCTCATATGCATGTATGGATCGGTCTTTTCGTCATAAAGCGTAAATTTGGACTGGTGAAAGCCCGCCCGGAGCGGAGTGGTTTCTATCTCAAGGGAGAAGGGGGTGGCGTTCAGCCTCGCCAAATCTGTGTCCAGAGGGATAGGCACGGCTAGGCGGGGTGGTGGCATTATGACCTCCTCGCTGGCGTGACCCCCATAAGACACCCGCTGGAACGCCAGCACCCTTTGAGCCTCTCGTCGACGAGCCCGTTCCTTCAAAACAACCGGCAAGTCCTCTGAGCGAACGGAGTAGGAATATCTCGACGTTGTCGCCGGACGCGAGGGATGGTAGGTACTGTCTTGCGCGCTAGACTTCTCTACAGGCGCGTCTGAATCTCCAACCCTGTAACTTCTGGTGATAGAAAGGGAGGGCAGGTGTCGCTAACTCTGGCTGCCTGAACGACGTGGTTGGGTGCGCTCACTGTGGTCTCCCACTCCAATAAAACCCTTTCCCTTGACCTACCGTTTGAGTGCTTCCATCTCCGCCGCCATTCTACGGATGACGGTGTCTTGGTCCCTTAACTTGTGCTCCAGGCGTCTAGCGTGCGATTCTCTTCACCACCGGTGTCCGTCTGGGCTCTGAGAGTGACCAAAACTTCTAGCGCGCTTATCTCACGCATCTCTTGGAAGTCCTCCTGGGGAAGTCTCCAGGTCCGCCATGTTCTGAACGACGTGGAGTCCATCTCTCCGTCTGACAGACTCCGGGGTAACACCATCAATGGCAGACAACAGTATTTTGTCGTTGTTCGCTGTGGACGGTGATCGGATGAGCTCGGAGGACAAGGTTGTGTCTGCAAGGCTTTCCCACAGACGACGCCAATTGTACGGGGAAAAGATATTCGATGTTATCCGTACTCCTTTCGTCCAAGCTCCGAATCTATCCGATCGACCTGAGAACACAACGACGGTGAGTTACCCGACGGTGTGTTACCGAAAAACTCCTCTGACAGTCAAGTTAGCACACACTCAGAGAGAGAGAGAGAGAGAGAGAGAGAAATTTTATCAATGTCAAATTGTATCTCACCAAATGATGTTCCGTTATCAGCATGGGGGGCACAGTCATGCTTATATACTTTCTGCGCTCTACTCTGCACCCATTAGTCTCTTGACACGTGGAACTGCTCTCCCATCTGTTAGCACAAATCCAGCGAACACCACCTAACCAAACTGCCAGACAACATTAGTGGGAAGTCGGCAACAAGGCGGCATCACCTCGGCCTTATACGACCGTTCTGCGTATTACGAGATCTCGGTATGTGTTTAATCGGTGTCCGGGACCGGTTACTCTAGTCGTTGGACGACAAATGTTATGTTCTATGGAGTATGCCATTATGTATGTTCTGATATGAGATGATTATGTTTATGAATGGTTTATTTTATGGATATATGAAATGTGGGATTCGTTCACTACCCCTTTACTTTAATGTTACTTGCTGAGCTTTAGCTCATTGTTTGTATATATGTAATTATAGGTGAGCACTCTGGGAGTCAAGCCTAGGCGGAGTCCGAGCTGAGCCGCCGTTTTGAAGCCTACCCGGTGTTTTGGTGCCTCCGAGTTGGGGCTAGGCCCAGAAGGCCGTTAGGAAGCTTGGTTTTGGTTGTACATGAGGCGTGAGCCTATGTCTTGTATATGAATTTTGATTATATGTGATGTAATGTAGTGGGTAAATTAACATTTTTGGCATGTAATGTATGTTCATATAAATGCATAGCTCTTTGGACTATTAGTGTTTTGTTTTCACTTCCGCAAGCCCCGGTTATGTATGTTTTGTACAGAAAGGCCTGTGGTAATCTAGGGTTACTGGCCGGTTACGATGCCAACCTTCTCGGGGCGGGTTTGGGTCGTGACAGTCTGAATCTCCAACCCTGTAACTTCTGGTGATAGAAAGGAAAGGCGTGTGTCGCTGACTCTGGCTGCCTGAACGGTGTGGTTGGGTGCGTTCACTGTGGTCTCCCACTCCAGCAAGACCCTTCCCCTTGACCTGCCATTTGAGTACTTCCATCTTCGCTGCCATTCTATGAATGACGGTGTCTTGGTCTCTTAACTTGTGCTCCAGGCATCTAGCGTGCGATTCTCTTCGCCGCTGGTGTCCGTCTGGGCTCCGAGAGTGACCAAAACTTCTAGCGCGCTTATCTCACGCATCTCTTGGAAGTCCTCCTGGGGAAGTCTCCAGGTCTGCCATGTTCTGAACGGCGGGGAGTCCATCTTTCTGTCTGGCGGACTCCGGGGTAACACCATCAATAGCAGACAACGGTATTTCGTCGTTGTTCGCCATGGACGGTGATTTGATGAGCTTGGAGGACAAGGTTGTGTCTGCAAGGCCTTCCCACAGACGGCGCTAATTATACGGGGAAAAGATATTCGATGTTATCCGTACTCCTTTCGTCTAAGCTCCGAATCTATCCGATCGACCTGAGAACACAACGATGGTGTGTTGCCGGAAAACCCCTCCGACGGTCAAGTTAGCACACACTCAGAGAGAGAGAGAGAGAGAGAGAAATTTTATCAATGTCAAATTGTATCTCACCAAATGATGTTCCATCATCAGCATAGGGGGTGTAGTCACGCTTATATACTTTCTGCGCTCTACTCTGCACCCATTAGTCTCTTGACACGTGGAACTGCTCTCCCATCTGTTAGCACAAATCCAGCGAACACCACCTAACCAAACTGCCAGACAACATTAGTGGGAAGTCGGCAACAAGGCGGCATCACCTCGGCCTTATACGACCGTTCTGCGTAACGAGTCCGAGTGCTCCGTTCGCCGAGCTCCATAACAACTAAGCTCAGTAGCATTCCGGCAGAGCCGAGTTCAAGACAGGTTGAGCCAGTAAACAGAAGGCCTTTCCCGCCGAGCTAAACGTGCGGACCATGGAACCCGGGTTGGGAGGCGATCATCTCGACCAAGTAAGCTCGGCCCAGACACGGGACCTGATCCTTGGCCGAGCAAAACCGACACTGGACATGGACAAGCCCAAGTAGCTCGGTCCAAACATGGTCCTGGGCCTCGACTGGGCAAAACCACCTCTGGACAAGCCCAAGTTAGCTCAGTCTAAACACGCTCGGCCCTCAATTTGCCCGGCTTCTACCACGGCCCAAGCTAGCCTATAAATCTTCCTCTCAATTGAACAAATACTGGAATGGCCTATTGGGTGGAACTCGCATGTTCTCCACCTCCAATCTCTTTATTCTTATCTTGTAATCAAGCATTGGATTAATAATCTGATGAACCCTACATATTTCCTTCACTTTCAACCTATTAATAATGAGACAATTGCAAAGTCCCATTTTAGTTTTCATAATTTTAATTTGAACAATTTAAACTCTGTACTTTTAATTTTGTTGTAATATGGTTTCTACCATTAGAATTTAGAACGAAGAAAGACCACGTGCAAAATTGGAGGAATTAAAGTGCAAAACTAGTTCATTTTGAATTATACTTTGATTCTTCTAATTTTGTATTTTTTAATTCTATCAAATCTATTTATTCTTATCTCATAATCAGGCACCAGACTAACAATTTGATGAACCCCACATATTTCCTTCACTTTCAATCCTACTAATAATGAGACAATTGCGAAGTCTCATTCTAGTTTTCAACAATTTAAACTTTATACTTTCAATTTTGTTGTCATGTGATTTCTACCATTAGAATTTGAAATGAAAAAAGACCATGTGCAAAATTGGACGAATCAAAGTGCAAAACTAGTTTATTTTGAATTATACTTTGATTCCTCTAATTTTGCAATTTTTTTTTTAAAAATATTATTTTTAACATTCAAAATGTTAAATGATGCATGATAGAAGAACAACATGGTAATAAAATTAAAAAAAAGTAGACACTAAATTAAAACTATAAGAATCAAAGTAAATTTTTACTGAATGAGAGAAACCAATAGCATAATTTACCCATTAAAATTATTTGTTAACCAATATAAGTTTGGAAGGGGCCAGAGAAAGTAATAGATGGTATAGATAAAATTGTCCAATGCACTTCCAAGAACATGCCAATAACATTTTTATTTTTATAAATAAAAAAATTGAAAAATGGAAACAAAAATACATTTGAGAGTTGTTTTTATTTGAAAAAACAACAACAATTTTCAAAATTTGTAAAATTTAAGAAATAAAATAAAAGTGATTTGATTTATTATAAAAAACAAGTTCTCCATAGAGGGGCACAGAAAATGTGTGATGTACATAATAAAATAAAATGCTCAGATTTGTCCAACAAACTTTGAAGAAAGGGTGTATATATATAATTTTTTTGCTTACAAAAAGTTTTAAAAATAGAAACATAAATATGTTTGATAAAGTGTTTTCGTTTTGAAAAATGACAATAAAAATCTGTAAAATTTAAAGAATAAAAATATATATTTCCACTTAATTTTTTAATAAAAGTTATTCCCTCCACCCTCTAGTCTAGCCACCTCTGACCTTTTCTTTGTTTAGAACCTGCATGGCAGCCAGTTTTTTGTTTTTTTTTTTGGAACACTACCATGGCCGCCCGTTGGCACTTTCCCAAAAGTCATACCCAACAATAACAACAATACTATAGGGCTACAATTTTTGTGGTCACAATGGCTCAAAACTGTCAAAACGACTTTTGACAGTTTTGAGCCATTGTGACCACAAAAATTGTGGTCCTCAAACATTTTCCCAACAATAATAAACTGAAAAATGATTCGATTGGCAATTATATTCTATCTGATCCACGGTAATGAGATAGAATTAATGAAATGATAATTTGTTAAATTTTTATAAGTAATGATCGTTCTATTAAATTATTTATTAAAAAAAAATCATTTCATTAAATTGGTGTATGTTGATTTTATTTATAATATTATAATTAACCAAACATGAAAACAGATATTTTAATAGAATAATTATTTTATTTCATTTTATTTTAATAAATCAAACATTACTAAAAGTATAAAATCTGCTACGGAGAGACCTGTTCGAAAACGAAAACAAATTTTTTTGTTTGAATCCAAAAAAAAAAAAAAAAACACACACACACACACATTTTATTGTGGACAGGAAAAGAAGACACATTTTCTCATGTTTTGTTTTCTCATGAAAAATACCCACATGAGTTTTGTTGAAAATTTTCTTCATACTTTCATCTTTTTATATTTATTCAGATCTCTCTTATGACATCGATGATTTAAATTATTTATTTTTAAATTCTACAATAAAACTCATTCATGCAAAAAAAAAAAAAATTAATTAATTTAATCGAATATTTATAAACATATCAACAAATTATATTTTGTTTTATAAATGAATGACAAATTGAATTGTAAACTTAAAGTATCAATTTTTAATAGAATAAAATGTAATTTGTTCTAGTATTTATAGTTGTTTAATAAAGTTGATTTTTTTCATAAATAATCTTTACTGCGAGACCTAAAAAGTAGACAATTTAAATAATTTGGACGTGTCTAAATGAAAGTCCACAAAATGAGTTTAGAGCGATACACAGAAAATGTTAGAGATTTTGAATTTGAAATTGATGGAGCAACTATGACCCTTTCATTGTATTTTCTCTATCTCAAAATATTAGTTTCTTATTTCATTTTTTATTGTTTCAAAATATTAGTCCATTTTAAAAAATAAGTACTAAAATAATATGAATTTCTTATTTTATTTTTTTTTTATAAAAAAATTATTGACAACACAAAAAGTATAATTATGACAATTGATATTCCTAAAAAAAAATATACTATCCAAAAGGTAATTTTAATCAATTTTTTTAAAGTGCAATAATTGTACTATAAAAAAAAGGATTTTCCAAAAAAACTATTATTTTGAAATGGAGGGAGTAATATAACTTAGGATTGTTTTAGAAAATAGGTTAAAAGTTGACTTTTTAATTTTTTTTATAAAAATGTGTAAAAAAAATAAAATAATAAAATAATTCAAAATAAATTAGAAATTAAAAAATAACTTTTAACCAGATTCCATAAACATGCCTTATTAGGCCAAGTTTGGCATCTTTCAAAAAATCTAAAAAGTCAAAAAGTCACTATCCTATTTAAGTCACATCATCTTATTTAAGTCGCATCACCTCTCTAACACATCACTTCAAACCCAACCCAAATCCAACTCATATTTCATAAAAAGTCAAAAAGTACACTTATTTAGTTTTCCCAAACTTGGCCTTAGTCTCCTATAGTTCAGAATATATATATATATATATATAGTAGTAAATAGTACACGCTATACGTGTACCATTTAAATAAATAAAAATAATAATGAAATTGACAATGTAGTATGCCTCTTATTGGGAAGAGGCTTTTTATTTATTTATTTTTGTCTAAAATAGTCACAAAAGATAAAATAGATTATTTTAGTCACAATAAATAAAACATCACATTCAATTCATAATCATTACACTATTCTCTAAAAAAAAAAAAAAAGTCAAAAAAATAAAAAAAAACTCTTTACCAAATTAAATTTTTTAACCCAAACTAAAATAATAAAAAAAAATCAAAAAATTGAAAAACCAACAACTTGCTTAAGTCTTCTTCCCAGCACATTCCCAGCACACAGTCACGAGTTGGTATAGATTTATGTAAATGAAGTATGTAGTGGGTTCCACTTTTTGGATCCGACTCTATATAAAAAATGTTCCGTTCGCATCCTCCGTTACGCGGACTAGGCACTTCACGCGACATCATATAATTGTGCATTTGCTTTATTATTAATTATCAAGGTTTAAACCAAAAAAAAAAGTACTGTTGATCATCATCTTCAAGAATCTGCAACTCAGGTATGGAACTCCAAAACCCTCCTCTCTCTCTCTCTCTCTCTCTCTCTCTCTCCTAGCCAACTGATCCTGCGATTTGCTTTTGGTTTGCTGCTTTGGATTCTATTTTGCTTTTTAGTACCTTGTTTGAATAGAGTAATTTGATGAAAATCCATAAGAAAAGAAAAAAAAAAAAAATGAAGAAATCTTGTTTCTTATGTTTGATTTATAAGTTAAGTGGTAAATGATTATTATAATTTAAAAGGAAAAAAATTATTGGGATAATTACAAAAAAAAAAACAAAAATCGTAAAATTTCATTAATATTTAATTTTCTTAATTTAAACTCTAATAAATCTGTTTTCAATCTAAATTTTCTGTCTATTTTCGCTAAATAAAACCAATAATTTTTTTTAAAAAATATTTTAGTCATTAAATTCAATAAAAAATATTTTTATGTTGAGTGTAGAGGTTAAAATATTTTTTTTCTATTTTATTTAACGAAAATAGATAATAGTTTAGATTGAAAATAAATAAAAGAAAATTGATTTAAATTGTTAAAATTAAAAATTTATTTTGTTATAATGATCAAATCTTGAGGGTTTTTCTTTTATTTCTTTTATAATTATCCCAAAAATTATTTAATTTTATAAGTTTCATTTATAATTAAAAATGATGTAATTTGATGAGAAAAAAAAAAAAAAAAAACCGTAAAATTTGATGAATATTTAATTTTCTTAATTTAAACTCTAATAAATCTGTTTTCAATCTAAATTTTCTGTCTATTTTCACTAAATAAAACCAACAATTTTTTTTAAAAAAAATATTTTAGTCATTAAATTCAATAAAAAATATTTTTATGTTGAGTGTAGAGGTTAAAATATTTTTTTCTATTTTATTTAACGAAAATAGATAATAGTTTAGATTGAAAATAAATAAAAAAATTATGATTTAAATTGTTAAAATTAAAAATTTATTTTGTTATAATGATCAAATCTTGAGGGTTTTTCTTTTATTTCTTTTATAATTATCCCAAAAATTATTTAATTTTATAAGTTTCATTTATAATTAAAAATGATGTAATTTGATGAGAAATAAATCATTTGATCGTGTATTTTTTATAATATTGAGATTGTCTATTAATATTTAAAAGAAGAAAAATATCTCATCCATATTTTTATATCGCATTCTACCTTTGTACAAATTATTTGTTCGGCAAAAACTTTAAAATAATATATTCTTGTATTAATTTTTTTTTTAAAAATTTTTACTGGAGATTTCTTTAAATACTTTTAGTTTGTAAAAAATAAATAAATTAAAACATGATAATTAAAAAACACATTTTGTTATCCTCATAAATGAAAGACCAGAACCATTTATTTTTCTTTTCTCAAACGGAGGTCCCTACCCAACAGCTATGCTTTGCATATACCTTTTTGTTTATCTTCAATAACTTCTTCTTCATGGGCTGGTTTTGTAAAACCATGGCCTCTTTTTTTCTTTTTTGGTAAATATTTGGGCAAAAACCATGGGCGGATTTTGTAAAACCATGGTTATGGTTTAGTTTTATTGGAGTTAGTGCATTGTATAAATCTTATTTTGTCCAGTGTTGTATTCCTAGTAGGTGTTTGCATACACTAAAAAAATATTTTTAATTTTTTTAATTTTTTTTGCATATATATATATATATTTGGATTATATCAATCAATATTTATCAACATCTTCTCTATAACTTTTTACCATTTTTTTTTTACTTTTCTACACATTTTTTTAATTATATAAATGTGGGGATATATTTTCTGAGTACCAACACGTGGCAAGGTGACGCCGACGTGTTAACCGAGGTGCCACGTGTCTTGGTCGTGACGCCGAGGTGATCTCGGCAAGGCTGAGGTTATCTCCGAAGATATCGGAATCCGAGATAAGTGGATAAGGGACAAGAGTCCTAGAGTAGAGTGGAGACTTAGCCAAGATAAGAATAAAACTCTTAGGGAGTTTATCTTTATCTCTTGAGGAGTCCAAAGTAAATACTGAGTTGGAGTCCATAGAAGTCAGGCTTCTAGTGGGATTAGGATTGAGTTGGCTATAAAAGAGAGGCACCCCGTGAGTTAAAGGTACGCAGTTTTATGCTTTGAGTAGTAAATTTAGTACTTGATTATCTTTGAGAGATATACTGACTTGATCGTCGAAGTGCCCCCGGGTGGAAGAACCACTGCCGGAGCTTTTTCTTTCTGTTACAGGTTAGCTGAAGCCATCTATTCTGCCAGTGCTTTTCCAGCTGATTACCAGACGGGCAGTGTGGTCGGAAAATTACCTACACAATTTGGCGCCGTCTGTGGGAAACTTAGAAGAATAGATGGCCAGTAACGGACAGAAGGAAAACATTGGGGGCGACACTCTCGTTGGGAGTGGCAGACCAATTGACCTTGACGTTGAAGGAGACAACCACAATGCAGAAACATATGACTAGGGCCACGGAGAGAAAGACGTCGGCCAGGAGGGCGACACTTCGAAGAGGACAGACCAAAGCAAGTATTATAACGAAGATAACCTTCAGGTATGGAGGGATAGGTGCCTACGGAGGGATGAGGAAGTAAAAGACTTGGCAAACAAGTTGACAGACCTACAGTCAGTGGTCAACTTCATAATGCAAAATAATGTCATGCAGCCACCATACCCGCTGCAGGATACGCCGATGCCAGCAACTAATACCCAGAAGGGAGGAAGAAGAACAATCCCCGAAGTCCCTCAGCACACCAGGAGCGGAAGGCACGCTCACCGACCTTCCAGGGAAGGCGAACGAGAGGAGCCGAGACGAGAGGAGTCCTGAAGAACGTATCACACGAAGGATCCAGAGCCCAAAGAACATCGGCATGTTCAAGGGCAGGCGCTCTGCTTTGACACAACACATGAAGAAAGATCAAAACGAGCCCACTACGAGGCCGAAAGTAGTGTGCCGAAGAGATTGAAGTCCAGAGATAGCCGAGCTCCAGGGAGGAGTAAAGAAGACTTGAGAGATTACCTCAAGAGGAAGCAACAGAATGCTGAAGCCGAGGTAACTTTCCCGGTTAAGTCGAAGACACCATTCTCGGTGGAACTGGACAAATTTGAAGCACCAAAGAAATTCAGTATGTCGAGATTCCAAATATATGATGGTAAGTCAGATCCCAACTTTCATGTTGGACTATACTTGAACTCAATGGCATTATATAGTGGGAACGAGCCGTTGCTCTGCAAAGTATTCCCCTCATCCTTCGGGGAAATTGCATTAGATTGGTTACATAAACTACCGAAGGGAAGTGTAAAGACTTGGGAAGGCCTAGCCGAGATGTTTGTGGCCAGGTTTGTGACAAATAAACTTCAGCCCTTGAGGGTCGACGCACTGATGGCTTTAAAGATCGCCAAGGATGAAGGCCTTAAGGCCTACGCAAAAAGGTACTACGAGGTGTTCAATCGAATATCCGATTGTAACCAAGAGGTGGCGGTCGTGTCCTTCAAGAACGGCCTGAAAGATGACTGTCCACTACGGAAATCTTTGGCAAAGACATTGCCAAAAAGCATGAAAGAACTCATGGCGAGAATAGAGAAATACGCCAGAGCCGAGGAGGATACGTCGGGAAATAAAGAAACAAAGCAAGAGAAAGGAAACGGCTCGCCGAAGCGAAGCCGAGGTAACAACGGACCGACCAAACAGGAAACGGACTTGAAGGCAAAACAGGCAGTAACGACTATATTTCGAGTCCCGATCCATAAAGTCTTGGATCAAATACGAAACCAACCCTATTTTAGAGGACCGACAAGAACACCAGGGGAATTCATGGGAAGAAACGTCGGTAGGCGTTGTGCTTACCACAATGAAGAAGGGTACCCAACTCAGGGCTGCAGAGCCCTAAAAGCACACTTAGAAGACTTGGTAAGGCAAGGACATCTGAGGGATCTTGTTGATGAAGCCAGGACTAGAGAAGAACAGGCAAGATTGCCTCAAACACCAGCAGCTCCGCCTTCCCCAGCACAGCAACCACCCGCAGGAGGACCACGGGTGGTTAATGTAATTCACTCAAAGGTGAACGAAAACGACATACGAGGGGAGACCCAGAAGGTAAAACACCTGCAGCACGTGAACCAGGTTGGACATAAACGACCTCGGCCTAAAGAATGCCAGGGACCGACGATAGCGTTTACTGAAGCCGACTTAGAGATGGTCTAACATCCCCATAATGATGCCTTGGTAATATCCCTCCAGGTTGGGGAGTGCCAAGTGAAACGCATCCTGATTGATCAAGGCAGCTCTTGTGACATCATGTACGTTAGATGTTACAAAGAGCTGGGCCTTCATCCTGATGACTTGGAGTAATCAAATGGCCCGATGGTCGGCTTCAATGGAACGTCAACGTGGCCACTGGGCGCAACAAGCTTGGAAGTACAAGCTGGCACTAAGAAGATCATGACAGAATTCATGGTGATTGACACACCTTCGCCAGATAACATCATCTTGGGAAGACCATGATTGCATGCAATGGGGGCAGTTCCCTCAACATTGCATCAACTACTGCGGTTCCCAACAGAGCATGGGATTGAAGAAGTCAGAGGAGATCAACTGCAGGCAAAGAATTGCTCCATGACAGCAATGAAATCCACCTGCAACATTCGAGAACTAGAAAAGGCAGAAATTGAAGATGAGGACATGAAAGTCCTGGAAGACGTCGGCAAAGAACCAGCCGAGAAGAGCGAAGAGGTGCTGAAAAAAATCCTCGTTCAGGATGGGGATGAAGAACGCTTCTTTCTTCTCGGCTCGGGCTTAGCCGAAGAGGAAGAAAAAGAGTTGGAGACTTTTCTAAGAGCCAACATTGAGGTGTTCGCCTGGACACCTTACGAAATGCCTGGCATTGACCCCGGGGTCACTTGCCACCGACTGAATGTCGACAGGTCGGCAAAACTTGTGATTCAACGAGCCAGAAGACCGACGTTGATGCACGTCAAAGCAGTAGAAGAAGAAGTGGACAGACTTCTGGAGGCCAGGGCCAT